TCTGGGTCGTTCCGGTTACGTAGACCCGACTGTCGTGGGAACGCATTTACAGGTCTATTCTGCGCTGGTAATAAAAAGTTTGTAACCGGTAATTAAAGTGTCTGTCAATTTTTTTAACCCTTTTCGCATTCTGTGTACTCTTGTAACCGGTAAATTTTGTTAACATCTCATAAGCTGGTAACAAAGTATTACCCCGTGAAATATGCAATGCCAGAATTTGCACAATTCTTCATAGCTGAATTGCTGAATATTTTAATTGCATTACCAACGTTCCTAGAATCGCGGTGACAAGAACTTATAAGCGGGTATAAGCTGTCCAAATTTGTTGGAGGAATTCTTAAGACTGTGATTTCCGAAAAGTACAACGTCAAAAATGTCCTTAAACTAAAAGATATGTTAACAAATGTTTGTGTGTGTGAAGAAGAGGTGTTAGTGTCGTTTGATGTTGTGTCCTTGTTTACAAATATACCGACAACTGTAGCAACCAGGGTTATTATGAATAAATGGGACCAAATTAAAAATATGACGCGAATTCCTAAACATAAGTTTCAAACCATTCTTGACTTTTGCCTCAAAGACAACAATTATTTTATGCATGACAACAAACTATAAACCCAAACTTTCGGAATGCCCATGGGAAACCCTCTTTCTCCAACAATCGCTGATATCATCATGGATGATCTGCTAGACAATACCCTTTTGGAACTCAAAAACGACTACAACATTGAAATTAAATTCATTACCAAATATGTGGACGACATTTTTGCGATTATCAAAAGAAACGACGTAAATAGCATTCTAAAAACACTAAACAAATATCACAGCAAAATTCAATTTACTATAGAAATGGAAGAGGATGCCAGTATCCCTTTTTTAGACGCGCGTATTTTTAGAGAAAATGGCAACCTTATACTGGATTGGTACTCTAAACCTACATCATGATTCAACAACTACAGGTTGTATCAATCGTACAAAAACAACATTTACCGTTGGTATGAACTCCTTGTGTCATCACCATCTTTTTTATCTATTCATATTCGTGTGTATATGTATACCCTGCATACCAGGATTTCATAGAATTCTGAAAGGTTTCACAATTTTTTTAAGAATTTTCTTTAAGAAATCGTACAGAAATTTCTTTACTAGTTCTTATCAACCGCCTCATATGTTTTTATTTACAGATTTCTAAAAGAATCGTAACAAATTTCCGACACTCTTAAAGATTTCGGGAGCATTTGTTTGCAGGGTATATATATACGTATATGTGTATGTGTACGCGGATATGTAAATATAGCAAAACAGACGATAATTTGACACAAGCGTGCTCATAAGAAGAAGCATAGCTTCTATCGCTATCACCTGTAATTGATGCGCCTTGACCTACATCTTCTGGACGCCTAATAAATTATTACTCTTCGCAACCCACCAAATATAAAATTAACACCGCCAAAAACTTTATACACAAAATATTGACAATAAGCCATCCCAAGTTTCACCCAACAAACATAGAAAAAATAAGGAAAATTTTGAAAACCAACAACTACCCTGACTACTTAGTACGCGAACTATTAAAACAAAAATTAATGCAAATAGATAATCACCGAAATAAAACAGATAACTCAAAAGCAACGGATACAGCAAAAAAATATTACAGCGTGACCTACATACCTAAGCTAAGCGAAAACTGCAATCACCAACTGGCCAGAGCACAAAACATAACCTTTGCATATAAATCCAACTCCACCTTATCCTCAGTTTATACAACAACAAAAAGCCCAATTGACTCCCAACAGAAAAGCAATGTTGTGTATGAAATTCAATGTAAAGGCAAAGAAAACGAAGCCTGTGACAAAGTGTATATTGGAACAACTAAGCGAGCTCTAGGTACCCGGCTAGCAGAACACGAAGCAGATATAAAAAAACGAAAAACTAACACAGCACTAGCACAACACATAGTAACGAGTGGACACACAGCTGATTTTAAAAACACTATAATAATAGACCAAGAGAAAAGGGAAAAGACTAGGTACACGCTGGAAAGTCTGAGAATAATGGAGAAAAGAGAAAAAACAATAAATAAAAAGGAAGATACCGATGACATTGCCGCGGCTTATATTTTATGTTTACAAAATTAATTTAAAAGTTTTCAGTCTTGACTAAACTACCACACAAGATGGTATTGGATATTTAGCAATTAAGATTTAGAAATGTTTAAGTGTTAATACTGTGAGTATTGTCTTGCATCGAGTTAGAATTGTTTGTTTACATATGTTATTGTTATCCAACTATATTTATATGTGAATACGTACATGTATGTATGTACTTGTTTGTGTTTCTCTGCTTTTAATGTTCTTTTTTATATTTTGTATTTATAGCTGTAACAGACAAAAATAAACAAACGCGCCCCTGATGATGCTAATAAGTTTAGCGAAACGTTGGGCTGTAATAGTGGAATAAACTTGTTTTATTTGCACTAAAGATAATTAGATCGGACTAGCCTATCAAGAAAATTCTGTAACATATCCAAACCGATCGGAAGTAACAAAAACTAAGAACTGGTAACATTTTTTGGTAATAAAATTTTCCGGTTACTAAATCTTCGTTAACGTGCAGAATAGACCTGTAAGAGTAGCATTTAGAGGTAAATGCGCTAAATGTGCTTTTACGCGTAAGCAAAAACAGCAAATGACACAAGAGAAAAATTGCTCCAATCTGCTCATACCAAAGAACGTAGATAACAAGAAGGGACAACTCGTTATAATTGTAGCGAAAGTGCGCAACAGGGGCGTGCCTTTTTTTGTCCTAGTGTATTTTTTGATTGGATGAAAAAGGCATGCCCCTGTTGCGCACTTTCGCCGCAATTATAACGAGTTGTCCCTTCTTGTTATCTACGTTCTTTGCTCATACGCATGAGTTGCCAAAAATCATCGAAAACACTTAACTTCATTTGGCCAACTTTGGAAAGAATAACAGTTTTGGCAGTTCAAAGGGAAGCAGCAAAGCAAGCATGCATTGGGTCAAGACCTTGAGTGTATTCACTTTGAAACCAATTTTTGACCACGTAAACCTCATGTTATATTTACCCGTCACCCTTTTACAACACTGGTTTTTACTTCAATGGCAGCCCAGTCAGCTGTTAGTTGGCCTTACAATTATTTTGTTGACATTTCCGATTTAGATTTTTCTACACATCTG